CGTAGGCGCGCCGTCAACATGCAGAACGACGCCGGCGAGTTCGTGGACCTGTACGTGCCGCGGAAATGGTGAGCGCCGCCCCCGCCCCCACTGCGCCCCTCCCTCAGCTCCCCCCCTCAGCGCCCCTCCCCGCTCACTGCGTCCCCTCCCCCGCAGCTCCGCCAGCAACCGCATCATCGGCGCCAAGGACCACGCGTCCATCCAGATGAACGTGGCCGAGGTGAGCTCGGCGGTGGGAGGGCCTCTCTGGGGAGCGAGGTCTGGGCCGGCCTGAGCGGTTGAGCCCCAAACCCCAGACTTAAAGCTGTAGGCGCTTAAATGCTATCTTGTGATCCTCATTTTTGACTGACAGGTTGACAAGGTGACAGGCAGGTTTAACGGCCAGTTTAAAACCTACGCTATCTGCGGGGCCATTCGCAGGATGGTGAGTGTCCCGGGCTTGGCTCCCCAGGGGCCTTTGAAGGGGGGTCCCTAACGTTGGTGTAATAGATTTGAGCCTGTGGCTGGAGCGTGCTGTTTGTCCCTTTCTGGGGGTGGGAAGGGTGCTTAAAGGCTCCAGATAGCCGTGCCTCCCTGAGAAAACGCTCCAGTGCGCCTTTACCTGGGAGCTCCCCAGTTCCCACAGGCCCGTCTCCACGGCCACCCCCGTCCCTCAGGTGTGAGGCCACGCAACTGGGAGAGTGCCCTCCGCAAGTGCTGTGTTCAGTGGGGACAGCGGTGTGGCTGGGTAGTGTGTTCCTGGTGGATCTCCTGCCAACAGGGAACATAGTCCCAATGTGCTTTTTCCTAGGGTGAGTCAGATGACTCCATTCTCCGACTGGCCAAGGCCGATGGCATCGTTTCAAAGTAAGAGGGCTCGCATTTGGGCACGGAGACTCAGGACTTCTCCGGAGACAAGGTGTTAATGTTGTTTTTCCTTTTGTGTAGGAACTTCTGACTGGAGAGGACCACAGATATGGAGCATTTGTCATAAATAAATAGTGAAAACCCACTCACGTTGGTTGGTTTTGTGCTGGTAGGCGCGCTCTGGGCTGTGGAGGGTCAGGGCTGACATTTTGCTCTGAATTGTTGACAAGGAGGGGCTGGTCAGCTGAGACAACCTATGAAATATGCTACAAAACCAAATTTTACTTTAAAGCACAAATACAAACAACTGTGACATATGACTTAGCATTGAGGTCAGATAGTTGCATAATGCACATTAAAAATCCACACGCTACTGGGTTCCCGAGGGAATGGCACCAGGCCCGTGGACACCCCTCAGACGCCTGGGCTTGTTCTAGAGAATGACGATTCAGGCTGACGTTTGGCTTAAATACTGGCTTTGCTGCAGTGATCTGAGTATCACAGTGGCAATTCTTAACATTACTAAAAAGGACACACTAACAGGTTACAGATGGGTTTGGTAAACTAAATCAACTACATAAATATGCAAACTTAAATTACTGTATCGGTATTTCTAACATCCATGTAGAAATTCCCAAGGATGTGCGTCCTTTGAGGCTAAATTGTAAACCAGGACATTTCAGAAGTCCCTTAATGCGCTTGTAACGTGGAAGTATCCTTGAGATGCTGTGGTGGCAGGACAGGTTGCTTTCCAGAAGAAAGTTGCCTGGGGCCTAGCAGCTTTCATCCCCCATTCCATTTCGGATGCACGCAGGTTGGGGGCTGTCTTGGAGAGGAGGGAGGCACTCCACAATAAATAAGGTTAGAACGCAGGCTTGGGCTCTGTCCCGCAGCGACCTTGGCCTGACAGAGGCTGAGGAAGGGGCAGGAGCAGCAGGCCTGCACCTTCACTGGGGCTAGACTGAGTTGCTGGAAGATGGGTTCTATGATGAATAAATTGGCCTCTTTCTCTGCAAGAGCACCAGTCCACACAGAATACAGTGTGGGGCTCTCCCAGAGCCCCTCCAGTGACAAGTTTATAGCACAGTGGAGAAACAGCTTAATGGCCCAGCCAACATGGCCATTTTCAGACTAGCTGACCCCAGTCCTCGGCTGAGTGTTTCCGGTGGGGTGGCAAGCCTGGGAGCTGGAGAACACGACCTGTGTAAGAATGACAGCCCTGGAAAAGCTGAATGTGGGCCCTGGTGACATGCTGGGCCTGGACATCACAGAAGTGACGACCACCACCCCTTGGGGTCTGCACCTGTCAACTTCCTCAGGAGAAAATGGCGTTGCTGCTGACCCTCGGGAAGGTGATGTGTGGAGCATGGGGCTGCGAAGCCGTCAGTCTTCTTTCCGCTTGAGGGTCAAGCGTGGTTTCAAGTCACAACTTCACACATTTAACCAGTTTTTGTTCCCTTAACCAACAGCAGAATCTCAAGTGACGACAAATCTGTCTTACTCTGTGACTATTGCTTAGGGAGATCAAAAGCCAACAATGCAGTCATCTGAAGGTTGACTGTCAAGGACCAACAGTCTTCCCGCTGAAGGGACAGACAGTGTCCCTGGGGGATGGGCCAGTATCTGCAGAGAGGCCGGTAGGGGCTCAGGACACTCAAGCATCAGGATTTCAGTGACA